ACTTAGAGCCCTTCTCCAATTGGATGATAAATTTTCATCAGAAATGCCTGATCTCTGTTTAGATTCATAAAAACTGCAGTTAAAAAAGTAGATGACAGACACTATTAAAAGTTTTCCAATAAATGAAGTACAAAAAAAACCCATTAAAAATTTTTTTTGCATCTATATTGACAAAGTTGCATGTATATTGAGATCAATTGATCTGACTCTGAAACAAAAGTTTTTTGGTTTCAAAACTACATCTAAGTTAAGTAAATCCACTAACTCTTGCAAACTACTCAGTATTCTCAGCACTGAACTAAAAGGGGAATTATATAACCTGAAAATTGACTCTAAATTTATCCATATCAACAAAGTGTTCTTCAGTTTTTCTCATAGATTTTGCAGCCAATTCACATAATGCTATTACAATTAAATTCTTTGGCATATTTATTCATATTGAAAAATGGGTAAAATCACTATCGATTTCTATTATGAAAAGTTTAAACTGTGACATAAAGTTTTGTACCTGACTAGCTAGGTCACAAATAAGCATTTTCTCTTCCTTAGATCTTTAAATTTAGCTCCTTTATGGTCATAGTGATATTTTTCTCTTTGTTGAATATTGGCAGGTGTGCCTTTTTTTTCAAGAAAATCTTGAATTAGAGTTAACAGTACAGTAAGTCTTTATAAAACTTCCGTGACTCAAGCAATGAACATTGGCAAAGAACATGCAGTCATTAAATTCATTATCTTCTACTTATAACAGTTCCATAAACCTGTGATTCATATCATTTGCACATATATACTGAATGAACGATTTTAATAACTGCATCTATGATACAGTCTACTTGAAAGAACAGGCATTTTCATTGTTATCCCCACTGTGGAAGAAATAAAAAGGAAATAACTTCAGTAAATCTAGATTTTTGTTCTCACATAGCTGGCCCATTGTCTGTCTTGATAAAAACTAACTTTTTCCTATTTAGCTGAAAGTGACATATGTAAAAGATTAAAGAATACTTACAACATGAGATAGATTGTCTTTAGGGTTGCAAATAGATGAAGACATTTCTTTGTAAATTTAAAAGTCATTTGAGACAAAACATACCCAAACTATTAATTGGCCAGTGTCTCGTCTCTTATAAAACTCCTTTAAAACTAAAAAGTACTTGCAATTTTTCAAATGTTGAAATGATTATCTTTAGTATTGTCAGAAAGGTCTTTTCATTCACTGATGATTGCTTGGTGGGTCAATTGAAGATTTTACTTTTTGTAAAATACCCTTCTTAATCTTTTCCTCAAAATTTTAAGCATGATTCCCTTACTTGAAAAAATAATTAAACCTTTCATCTCTCCATCTAAAAATGGTTTTCTTTCTTAAGCAAGAATTCAAACCATTTTCATAGCTGGCCAAAATTATAAGATCAAATTTTTTAATAATCACAGAGGCATTTTTTGTTACATGTTTAATTTTCATTTCATTGACTGATTTTTTTGACTGTTGAGAGGCAACTTTTTAAATTAATACGCATTTGCTGAAAATGATTCAATATTATGTATCATCTTAAAACATTTTTATAACAAAGTTCACTTTGCTGCAGCAAATTTTAATTGCCATTTTTTGTAAAATTTGTAACATACCTTCTCCACTTGATTCTGCTTCATTAGTGTGCCTGCATTTGAAAGTTAAAGCTTTTTTCATTCTTAATTTTTAACCTAGAAAACAATTTATTTATAATTAAGATAACTATTTCAATTTAATGATTACACAGGTATCACTGTAACTCTTGCTGTCTGCATAAAATTTTGAAATAAACAGATTATGGTGCTACATTGTTGCATAGAAAAAGTAACTGGGGTCATTCTGTTGACACAAACTAGATTGGTGACATGCTTATGTGTAATGCTAGAAATGACGTATGTACCCATCACAGACACTGCAGTACATCTTATGTGATGTAATAAAGAAAAGTGAAATAATAGAGTTTTACCAGAACCATAAAGTTGTGTGTAATGGAGAAGTATTTCATACTGCTCCAGTTGTTAAATTTTGTATCAACTGAAATTGTGTTTGCATTTTTTTTTTCAACTGAAATTTTTAAAACTTACCATTCAGTTCCTCAGATGCATTAGTCACATTAGCATAGCTGGAGAGTCTAGAGCAATTTTCTTAACTTTAGTGATGAAAGTTCACAAGGATGAAACAACTAGACTCAGTTAAGCCAGATTCATTCAGAATGGAGCAAAGACATATATGTAAATCTTTATTTCGATATATGGAAAGGTTACCTTAACAAATGTAAAATAATTTTATGTTCCAGGCTGAATCCTTGTCACACCAAAAATAATTACTTTGATAACAAAAACAATAGTTATTTTATTTAATTTGAAAACAATTTGAAAGCAACCACATTTTTGTGGAGTTTTAAGGGGTTCACTTTTCAATTAGAAATTCTGGCGTCCTGTAAAACACCTGTGAAAGGTGATCTAAATTTGCTCTTAGATGTCATTTCCCAGATGGACACTAGCATTTGGGAGTTGGCTTTGTTTTGAACACTGAATATTGCTTTATCTGAAATGTATGCATAAATTTATGCAAATATAAAATGAAAATAAAAGGAGGAATTAGAGTAACAACGTAATTTCATTATTCAATGAATGCCTAAGATTCATGGAGGAACCAAGTGTTTTAAGCCCAAATTTACAGCCAGAGTAGACCTTACCCGTCCCATTTATGCTGAGAGGAAGAAAAGAATTAAACCTTTTCACTAATTCAATTCCTTTAGGGTAAATAATTATTCTCCTGCAGTTGCTAGTACTTTGATCATAGAGAAATGATCCAGGGTGTAAAAGCTAGCTTTTGTATTTGTGGAAATGTTAGGGATTGACCCTGGGAACTTGAAGAATACGTTTGAAACTCTAGATTGACAGCACAGATAATCAGTTAACAGAGGGGGATGTGTGTGTTAAATATGTCAACTACATATAAAATATTTAAAGTTTTTAAAAGCATTCACTTCCAAATAGTCTTCTGTAAATAAAAGACACAAGCCATGCTTTTGTGTGCAATCTTTTCTTTTTTCTTTTTAAAATTATTTACCCCATCCACTTCTCATTTGTTGCAGACTGGTTTCGGATATGTAAGAAATGCTTTTTTTGGATTCTGCTAAAGTTGACCCAATTTTCACTAATTGCCATGCATTCAAAGTTTCATTTGCCCAGAATAGCAGTATTATTGTCATTCTTTGGTAGTTATAATAAGTGGTTTTATACAAAGATGCTGTTCAGAAGACTATATTGGTACTAGCTTGTAGGTTGTTTTTGTTAAAATTGGCCTTATTCCAGGAAAAAAATTGAATGCTAATATATAAGTTAAAGTTTATTATATGTGATTCTTTATATTATTGGCCTATTGACTCGCTAAAACACACTCTATCAAAGAACACCTTAGACATCTTTCTTCAAAGCAGTTACCAGTTTCCTAAAGGATGTAGCCACTATTTTATTTAGTTTTTCTAACACCTCAGAATGAAGATTCATTCTTTTCAACAATCTGAATTCAACTAATCTTTATTTAATTATGTTTAAAATGTATAACTGTATTTTTAGTTTTTATTTATTTATTTATTTATTTATTTAAATATCCCTACAGGACAATTACCTTTTTTCTGTCTCTTCACTTCAATCTCTCCTTCCCCAAGTCCCCATTAATTTGAGTTGGGAACTATCACCTTAAAGCTTTAGGCTAATGCATGAATAGAATTGGTGCTTTTTATTTTTTTTCCCATGAATTATGTACCACACACACAAAAAAACCCATAACATGTAGCAACTTATTTTGTTTTTGAAGGAGGATTTGAAGAGCTTTTGAATAAAAATGAAAAGAAACTAGTGTTCATTGCCTATGTGGCTTTTTTCAAAAGGCTCTTAAAAAACTTCCATTGTGGAAGATATGTCAAAGAAATAATCAATCTTCCCATGTTTTCTTCCGTCTGCTACTTCTATAGCTTTTCTTCTTCCTTCCTAATTACAGCCCTTTAGTAGAATTCATGCCTCATATAGAAAATTACTGAATATCATAATTCTTCCAAGTGGTAAAGATACCTCAAGACAAATGCTGGACATAGAAGCCACTGGGCATAAATCTGCAAAGAAGTAAAAAGCTAACCTTTTCAAAGAATATTGCTTCTCTCTCACTTACCAACTTTACATTTCCCTGTATGGCCCCGGAAGA